TTCTCGAACGAAAATTAAGCCGGTTAGTTGAGCACCACGGTGTAAGTGCATGTTGCGGTATGACCCTTTGATGCATTTGGCAAATAAGGACGGGCTCTCCACGGCAAAAAGCAGAAAGCGCTTGAACTCTAACACTCAAAAGTGACTCAGATCTATGCTCAAAGGCTCTTTCATTTTTAGCTTATATACGGTATTTGTATGTACAGTGAATCGCAAAGGATATGTTCAAGAAATAATGGCATAGAAGACGAAGAGGGGCAGCAAAGCGCCGAGCCATGATTCACAAAGCCCAAAGCGTTGTCAGGCCTTCAATAATCCATCTTGTCAATCAGCTGCCAGGGTTGGCCGTCCTACTCCCTTAAGCCAGAAGCTCAAGGGCGTCAAAGCTGACACCGGGGCTAAGGTACTTCTCGCCAGAGCTGCCGCTGATGATGTTGATGGTGAGGATCTGCCACTCGCTCGTGCTCTGGATCCAGGCGGACTGCGGCACGGCGAAGGTAAGCTTGACGTTGTTGCCGCGGTACGTGCCGACGGTCAGCGAGCGGGTGCTGGCCTGGTTGGTGGCCGCGGGCAGGGCCGAGGCCCACGAGTTGACGTTGATGGCCGGGCGGCCGCCGATGTAGCCCTCCGTGATGCCGATGCGGACGGTGTGGCCGGCCGCGAGCTGGGCGGTGGTGAGCTTGAAGTAGATGAGGTAGCCGCTGTTGACCTCCTTCCACATGTAACCGGGGAAGCGGTTGGCGCTGTGGGTGCCGACGATGAAGTTTCCGGCGTTCCAGGTGGAGATGCGGGTGTCGGAGGGGTGCATGTAAGTGGGCTTCATGGGGGTATCCTCAAAGTTCAGGAAGCCCTTGGGGGTTCCATCTATGCCACAAGTCAGCGTTTGTGTTCTTCATGTCTTGAAATGTTATGATAGGAGATCAAACTGACCCCACTCGCCGATGCGCCAAATGACAGCGTCATCCTGAGGATCAACACAGGTGATGGTGTTGACGGCAGTCCCGGCGCCAGCCTTGATGGTGACGGAGGAGGTGGCGACCTCGAGCTCATCCTTGTAGACGGTCAGGGTGTAGGTGCCGGGGATGATCTTGGTGATGGACCAGGCGCCACCAGAGCCGGCGGTGCCCCAGTACTGGGCGGCGGAGTTGGACAGCCCGACTACGTATGTCTTGCCGGACTTCATGTTGGAGAGGCCGACACCGGAAGCGTAGCCGCGACCAGAGGCGGGCACCCAGCCATCGAGCTAAATTTGAGTTAGATTGAGTATGCTACGTGGCTGTTAAATAGGGATTGTCTGCTTACGCCGAGGTCATCGAACCAGGACCAGTCGGCCTTGCGAGCGAAGAGGTTGCTGTTGGGGTCCTCGCCGGCGGTGAAAGCCAGGACGGAGGGGCCTTGGAGACCGGTGCGCATGGGGTCGGTGTGGCCCATGTTGTAGTAGTAGATGTCGTACAAGTCCTCACCAGTCGGGTCCGCACGACGGACGAGAGAGCGGAAGAAGGGACCGCCGCTGGCCTTTTCGTGGTTGCTTCTGATCATGAACAGACCGACGCCAGTCTTCTTGCGGCCAACGTAGTCGACTGCTAGGGGTCAGTCTTATTACACACAAAGTTTGAATTGGGGTGAACGCATACAGTCCATGACTCTGCTACTTGTCAGTCAAGTTCCTTTGAAAAAAGTGTATTCTTGTAACTTACCGGCCGTAATTGGAGCCTTGGTAGTGCTTGCTCTTGGTCAAGCCGGCGCTGTTGACATTGATGTCCTGGGCCTCGATGATGGTGCTGCTGGCATCATAGAAGTCCTTTTTCGTACTTTGTCAGCTGACCATCATGGAAATTCAATCGTTTTGAGAGCACATACACTCTCGGTAGAGTCATGGGAGAAGATTCCTCCTGGGATGCGAACGATGTAGCGCATGGCCGAGACGGAGTCGTCTGCCTTGTTCGTGAAGAGGTAGACATTGTTGTTTCCGTAGCGGACAAAGATCCAGTGCTTGAGAGTCTGTGGATGTTTGTGAGTATACGATGCTTCGAGGTTATAGTGGGAAGGACCCAAAAGGGGTATGAGGAGGGAAGACGTACGCCGTGGACGACCGAGACCTTGATGACGTTGCTATAGCTCGTGATGCTGACCGTGCTGGTACCGAGTCCTTTTCTCATGTTAGCCCTGTTAAATGCCGTTAGAAGAAGGCGGAATCCGTAAACCAACCTGATTCAACGTGGGTGTTCTTGCCGCCCCAGCCGTTGTACTCGACGCCCTTGTAGTTGAGCGAAGATATATCACCGCAGCATTTGGTCACCTTGATGACGAGGTCAGAGCCGCTGTCAATGACATACTCGGAGCCATTGTCCGTCCAGCCAAAGGCCGCCAAAACGACCGCCGGCAGGAAGAAGAGCGAGCACAGAAGCGAAACGAACAACATGGTTGCTGTTGGTCACCCGGTGTTACAGAAAACTCGCAGCAGCAGTGCGAGTCTTGGCAGTAAAAAGGAGTGACAGAGGGAAACGGAGAGGACGGCAGATGCGTAGCTTCCCTTTCCTCTTCCCAGAGAGGGCGGAAACTTGGGAGACCATCTCATTATATTGGCGAACCTGACGTCCGCCCTGCCTGCCATCCTTCTCCTTTCTTTCCGCTCCGCTCCCAAGACTAACGTCCACACGGTCAACAGGCCTAAAAGGAACTTAGACATTCCCGTCCCGGCCGACAAACCGTGCTGCGGAACTGCCCTTGACAAACCTTCCCCCTCTCTCAAGCAGCAAGCTTAATCACTTGAAGAAACCTCTATGGTGGGAATAGATTGAGGGTTGCGATGTAAGCGGAGGAGGGTGCGTGCTCAAGCTGGTACCCCCATGCCGCCCATCCAGGACCATGGGCCGCTCGGCGCTCATGGCCCTACCGGGTGCTTCGTCCGTGATCCTTGGGTCCCACTCCTTATATCCGGGCATTGAACCCCCCGGCCGGACAGGAATCCTCCGGTTAGGAACTTGGGAAAGAAGAAGGTTCTTCTTTTCTGCCCACCGTCCACGTAAGTCCCCTCCCACGTGCGGCGTGCCTCCTGCTTGTCTGCTCCTTTTGCATCACCGGGCTGACAATCTAGTACTTCGTTCGAAGGGGTTGAATCGTGGAACAATATCGGCCGGGGTATTCCACTGGGCAGTTCCCACGGCCCACGGGCTAGTGCCACTGGTGGAAATGCGCGTAAAAGCACCGCTGCGAAAAGCCCCCCCCGCCATCGGAATAGTCGGCCCTCTCAGGACCCTGGTTGACTCGCTCGAGGTGACATTCGCGATATTGCTTTATTGGCATGGCCTTTTCCATAACCCGCACCGCAATCTTCTTTGGCTTTGCGCTTCTTTGCACCGCCTTACGATAGTCGTTGGCTCATGGGCACATCATACATGGGAGCTGGAACATACCATTGACTGCATCGGGCTGCATGTTGCATTCACATGCCGATCCCAAAGGCTTGACTTGGAGCTGCCGGCTTTCATACCCTCGCTGACAAGCGCCCTCTCGCGGCATACGCCGTTGATCGCGTTGGCAGTCAGCAGCCTGATTAACAGGGATGTCATACACGCACGCTTCGCAACACTGCAATCAACCCTTTCTTGGGGTCCTACCATAATCCGTCAGCTCCTCTCCCCTATCCAAGGCAAGAAAAGGACGACCTGAATATCAAACATTGTACCCATCTGGTCAACAAGCGCTTGACACTGCCTAAGGGAGCCGGAGCTGCCCGCCAGAGAAATGCAAAGTCAGGAAAGACCATCACAAAAGCACCGAGAACGAGAGACTTCCGTGTGCGATACTGCAAGAGGAAAGTCCGGATCGGCGCAAGGGTCTTGGTGGGCCTCTAACGACTCACGAGGAACACATGGTGACATGGTAAATGGTGCCCGCTCCGCTATCCTGCTTCCAAGTCCCGAAAGGAGAACCACGAGATGGGCACGTTATTGCGGCAATTCTTGTACGCCGCCCACTGAAATCTTCATGGCTATTAAATGGGGTCTCGTCAGAGCGGTTTTACCCAGTCTTTAAACTCGGTATAACAGAACGCTCGCTATTGACGTGTCCTCGATTAATTAGACGACCTTTCTTCTGTGAGAGCTGGAGCTATTCGAAGCAATTGAGTCCTCCCATTTTCACAACAATGATACCAGAATACCTACTAGGTAATTATCAAACAGACTCATGCCTGGTAGTCAAGAAGATGAACCGTCGCAAACTCCAATTGCGCCATAACAGACCAATCGATAGACATGCCTTCATAATTACACCACGATGCATAACCTGCTTGAATAGGAAAGGCCTGTGTTTCAAAAGCAAACAACCCGGTCCGGTCCTCATAAGATGCTCTGGAGCGCCCGCTCCGCGAGCGCGGGATCAAGACACCTAGGTACTTGCATTTCGAGTAAACGTTGTGGACTGCAGTTCTCTTCAACCAGGAGATTTACAGAGTGAGCATTCTGTAAATGAGAGCAAGGTGGCGGGAGAGTCAAGGGTCCGAACAATAGCTCAAAGCGCCGGCGCCCCTCTTTCCGCCCCGATCAGTCCCGGAAGCCCGCCCGCCGCCTTTAGTACGGATCCCACCGGCCCCGCACCTCCGCCAACAATATCTTCCGGAATATTGTAGTCGGCTTGGCCTGTGCATGGAAGACTATCACGAACGACTTGATTTACTCGTTATGAAAGACAGGCATCCCCCCCTGAGAGCCTACATTGACACATAGTCAAGGGTGCGCTGCTACCGAGACGTCTAATAAGCGATGCAGTGCCCTGAAGCGCTCATACTTTGGAACTAGTCTCGACACTGCCTTGTCGTCACGATGTACAGTGCAGAGTTCGCCAGCTTCTCGAAACCATGAACTTGCGATCCTGTTAGACCGATAACGGCCACGCGTTGGCGGTATTACCCAGGCCTCGCTATAGTTCGCCCATCAAAAGTCTCATTCATTCATCAAATATGTACATGCCTAGTGCACAGAAGATACACCTCAAGTCTATCCATCAATCGGACACCTGTACTCCCTCGCGTGAGTCTCCGCCCGGGTTTTCCCCTCAACCTCTGGCCGGGACTGGTAGGCGTCCAAGCAGCTCTGATGGTAAATATGCCTGCAAGCCAGTACGACTAAAGGTCCCAGCGGCTGCTCTCTCGGTTTCGCCACAGCTTCGCTTTGTCCCTCAGCGCCTTCCTCCGGCGCTGCCTCGTCCGCCTCCACATGGGAATCTGATGCCACAGGCGCGGCCCTACCCTTCCCTTTAGAGTCTGATACGGCCTGTGATACGTCGCTGCCGCTTCCGGCCTTCCCCTTGTCTCCAGCAACGACCAAGGCTTTCTTTTCTGCTTTCCACTCTTCTTCTCGCGCTTGCTTCTCCTCCCAAGCCTCAAAGACATTTCCCGAAACACCCGGGCCCCAGATGCGGCGACCACAAGCTTCGCAAGTCGAGCCCCTAGGTCGCCAGCCTCGTTGACGAAGGTCTACAGCTTGCTTGACATTTACAAACAGGCTTCGCTCAAGAAGTCGGTTGGAAAGCCGAAGTATTGATTCTTCGTAGGCATAGGCAGAGAAGATCGATGCCAGAACGGAGCGCAAATCTGCGAGGTTAGGTGACGAGGCCGCGGCTCGAGTGAGGAATGCTCGTAGGATGCGGAGGAATGACAAATTGCTCCCGGCATTCGTGAGAAGTCTCCCCCCACCTTGACCTCCTGCTGGGCTAGAAGTTGTTGTCAGGAGAGCCGTGAAGGTGTGTTGGACGAGGGATCGCAAAAGAGCCAAAAGCTTATCCTTATCTAGATCGTCAAGTCCATCGTGAATGTCATGAGATAGAGTGTCATTCTCAGTGGTTCCCGTAGTCTCAATGGTGGACGATATCTGCCGGGTTGTCTGCACTGCTGCATCGATCAGGTTGAGCCAAAGCTCTTCATCAGGTGACAAGACCTCTGAAGTTGATGACTTTGTCTTCTTTTGAACGCCGTTCGCCTTTCTCGAAGACTTGGTCTGACCTTGACAAAGCCAGATGCCTACATGCACGTACTTCTGCAGTGCCCGCAAGATTTCTTCAGCCCCTGACTGCAAGTCTCCAGCTTTGTCGTTGTTTTGAGCGCCTGTCAGAACACCTTGCAGGGCAGACTCGAGCGTACCAAGGTGCTTAACAAGTCTGTCCATAGCATCCTTGATCTGCCCCTCTCGAGCCATGAGCACAACGGCAGCGTCGATGACACCAGTCTCTTCCATAGTTGGAAGCAAGGCATCAAGTCGAAGGTTAACAGATTGAACCAAGCCAATATAGTCAGACACATGAGCTGAGTCAAATCTACACATGAGTTGCACATAGCGTTCAATCAGAGCTCGGTCGGGGTTCGCTGGGGATTCCCCGTCGCGCTTTTCTGGCTCGAGCAACGTTCGGAGATAAAAGAATTGCAGCCCCAACGAGTCGGTAGAATCCAGAACATGCCGGTGGATGTCTGCGGGCTGTCCTGATAGAGACTTCGCAGCTTCGACAGGATTGGTCTCGATAAGTGCCCTGGCATTGTTCCTGATTGCGTCAAGGACTTCCTGAACCTGGCGGCGGTTCAGACCACTCTGTGGCCGTAGACAGTCCCCGATACATTCAAAGACGGCGTCCCGGTCAGCGGGGTCTTCGAAATAAGTCTGGACAAGCTTGCCATACTGTTTATCAACCTTGTATTGCCTCTTCAAAATCCGGTAGAAACCGGCCTTCTTGAACATCGGTATGAGCGTGTTCGCATCAGGCGGTTGATAAATCGATAGGAGGTACTCGGCGCTGAGCTGTGCATCTTCGGCAAGATCTGATCCGGGGTAGTTGCACAGTCCGGTTAGAACCTTCGTGAGAGTTGAACCCGGGAAGAGCAAGTATTGAGGGAACTTTGGCAGGTTCCGAGCGATGAACATATCGAGATAGATCGTGTCCTCGGCTGCGAAGTCCGCCGGATTCATAATCTCCAGAAGTATGGATACGATGTATTGACGGTCGACCGTACGGCCAAAGATCTGCTCTTCTGGCACGTCGCCCCTGATGCCACCGTTAACTTGCTTGTCCGGCGAATCGTTCAAAAACGAATCCTCAAAGGCCTCGTTCACCGCACTCAAGAAACTCGGGGCATCAAACTTCAGTATCAGTCTGAGATAAGGGAAGGACGGCTCTGTATGCTGATCTGGCCGTGTAAGGAAGCGTCGGTCGCTGCCTTTGGGCCATGTGACACTGTTTCCTGAGAATAGAAACCAGTAAATCTCAGCCTTAGCCTTCGAGGCAGTGGCGTCATCCATAATCTCGCCGGTAGGATATACTCTGCCCGTCAATGTGTAGGAGAGGTAGGGGAACATCTTCAACGCGTTCACGCCGTATATCTCGTCCTCCATGTTTCCGGAAGACATGTAGTCACCATTGCTCATGAGAGGTACCAGCAACGTTAGTAGGTCGATCAGCGGTGTGATGTAATCGTTCAATGCCTGGTTCCAGACACATATCAGCGCGTCGTAGAGGCTGTGCTGCTTGCACAGCAGTGTGATCTGGTCCAGGTCCAGCGTCATAGTGTCCATGTGGACGATGATCTCCTCAAGTCGACTCTCCCATCCTTTGGTGACGTAATATGTCACCACAGCCTTCACAACAGCAGGTGGTACGATGGTAATGTTCTTCTCGAGGATATAAGGTTCCATGGTTTCGAAGAAGATGCCCTCCACGCCAGCGTCCTCATACCACTCGTACATCTCTTCGAAAAGGAAATCAACGTCGCTCACATTGTGACAGGCAGTGAAACACGTCTCGCAAAGCTCCCGCACATGGTTGTCGTCGGCTGCTGTTTTGTCCTTTTGGCGCTGGGTGAAGGCGTATTTGAGCGACGCTTTCATGATTTCCATAAGCTTGTCGCGGACCATTGAGTGCCGTAGCGAGGTGTCTTCAGGCAACCCAATTGTAAGCTTGTCTGCGTCACCGGTGTAGTACGATGTGCCAAGCTGTATCGCACCGACATAGTCACCGTTCTCCATAAGAGCAATGATTCGATCAGCCCAGTTTGATAGTGACCCAATGGACACATCGTTGAATCCAAGCAAGAAAATTTTGCCCTTGTACGTCTTCAAACTCATGTAAAATGCGTCAGCTACAACACCATGCATAGACGTATCGTCCTCGTCTAATTGCTCCACTAGAGTGTGTAGCTGTTTCGAGAAGAGATCGGCATGATAAATAAACTTGTTGATCAAGTCGAAGCCTTCTGTCTGCCGCATTGTTCGGTCCTCGAGCACAATCAAGCGCTGTGAGATTGTCAGAACGGTGAGCACCGATCGACTAAGCCACTGCACTGCGACGATGGCTTCTTCGCACTTCCACCTACTCCGTGCCTTAAACTTGAGCGTCGGTGGTTTGTCCTTGTTCTCGGCCAGGATCTCGTCAACGTCTAGGACAGTCAAGACATTGGACCAGCAGTACACCAATTTGACTTTGGAAATATCGCTTCCTGTGACAGGATCCGGAACCTTAAGCTTCACGGCAGGGAACCACGCCAGGCATCCGGTCATGGCGCTATGGTGAGCAACATCCTTGGGCCTCGCCGACTTGTGCTGGGTTTGTGCAACGGGTGTCGTGGACACGATGACCAGTAAATAAGGCGTCAGCATTGCGGTAAGGCCCATAGTGTCTGTCGCACGCTCCGTGTTGCCAAGGGGCAAGGGGCTGAATGCTAGGACCGTACTAGGCTTGAGAGGCTTGCCGGCTGGAGGGGCAGCGTTCGGATACCTTCCTAGTATCCTCGTCGTCTTCACGGTCCGGCCGAGGGATCCTGTACCTCTTGTTGCCAGGTGCGAGAAAGCCATGCCGCGGTCGTCCGCTGACACGAGCGCAGTGTGTCTTGTTCCGAGGAAGCCGAGATGGGTCACAGCAACCCCTGGCAGGTGTCCATCAACAGTCCGGTTTTGCAGTTGCGGCTGTTCAAGGTGCGGTATGGAAAGGAACGGCCTAGATGCTCGGTTTGCCTCCCAGGTGAATATGTTTCCGTTCGCATGGCCTCCGGCAATCGTGGTATGGTCTGCCGAAACTGCGATGGCGGTGATGGCACCAGACTCGACCGCCTTGGTCCCGGGACCGATGATGGTCTTCAAGACCTGATTGTAATCAAACATTAATATTATACCCTTCGTAGTTCCCAGCACAATCGAAGCTGAGACAGCAATGCATGTAGGGGCGCCAAAGTTGCGCTTGCCAGCCTCGGAGAAGGCCTGGCCGTTGAGTTTCTTCAACCTCGTCCATCGTACAACTTCCCATGGTGGAGATGGGGTGTCGGTGTCGTCGCGGTCTAGCAGGTTTGAGCTGAGGGAAGCGGAGCGGCTGTGGCTGGTGAGAAAGCCGGGGGAGGAGGATCGCGGGCTGTGAATGAAGCTTGCGGATGAGATGCGGGATTGGAAGCGACGGTCGAAGGGTCGGAATGAGGGGGTGGGACTGCTGAGGCCGGGTCGGGAGGCCACAGAGGGGAGAACACTACTGCTCGGAGACGAGATCACAGAGCCCTGAACTCACAAGGTTAGTTAGAGCGTATTGGGATACTGCGAAGCTGGACTTGCCTGAACCGAAGGGGAATCATCAGGAACCGACATCAGGGAATCAATCGGGCTCCCGACCCGCTTGGGAACGGCATCCACGGAGCCTTCGTCGGATACATTGTCGGCTTGCTCGCGCAAAATCTCCCTGTATCGGTTCGGAAGTGCGCCACTCTCAGTCGCTGGTGGTGTGCTGCTGGACGTCTGGGTTTCATCATCCAAAAGGCCGACGATGCCGTCTTCCTCCCTCTCGGCCTTTACGGTCTCTTCATCACTGGAAGCTTGTATGTCCTCGGAGGACCGGTCGTCTTGATCTGCCATTGTGTCTCCAGGTCCATCATCTCTCTCCTTCGACGGTGGGGTCATCAATGGCGGTTCATCAGGCACATGGCTTGCGGTCGCAGATTGGGAGAGTTCGTTTTGGATTCGGAAGTTTGATAAGTGCTTTGAGGAAGGGAGGACTCGTAGAAGAAGCCAGCTCAATCAGGTAATGAACTGAAGATGATAAGATCTTATGAATGAATTGTGTTCTCTGGCGATGCGATTCCACTATGCCAACTCCTATCAGACGAAGGAGAGCTGTTGATCAATGGTTGTCTAGTTGTCTTCTGAAAGAGGCGCATTACGCAGCTTGGACACCACAGCCCACACTAACTGGGCACCTTACAGTTCCAGGTTCTAGGTTCCTGCCGCCTACTAACCTGGAGCTCCAACGCGGACCGGGGTTTCTCCGGCGGGCCGCAAACCGCGCTATCAGCTATCTAGGTAGGTGGTAGGTACCTGAGGTACCTCATGCTCGCCGTACCGTGGTGGATCTTCAAAGTTACATCACAGCGCAGGTTCGCTCTGCTCCTTGCATCCACTTCCCCAGACTCTCATTGCGACGACTTATTTACTACTAACACAACCCATCTGAAAGAAGAGCCGCAAGCCCAAAGCTTCAGGACTTCCCACACTTCCAGCGTGAAGACAGAAATCCCTCACCATGTCTTCAATTGGTCCACAAATGCCACCGCATCTCACAAAGAGAAAGCGCACTCCGGATGACCAAGGCGCAAACTCACCACCACCAAAGCACACCCGCAACAACACTGACGAAATCGACCTTGACGACGATGACGACTCCGACGACGATGCTTACGGACCGACCGCGCCGAGCGCATCAGCCGCAGCAGCACCCAAGAATCCCACCCCATCATCGAAGCCCTCGATCGGGCCAACCCTCCCACCATCAAACACAATAAACTCGAGCGAAATCCCTCTCGATGATTCAGACTCCGAAGACGGCTACGGCCCAACAGCACCTCGCGCATCGGCACCAGCTCAAGAAGCCCCCAAGACCAAGCCCTCAATAGGCCCGACTCTTCCCCCGAAACAAGCCATAGGTCCCGCCATGCCACCGCCAGACCACCGCCCCTCCGCCGCAGACTCGGACTCGGACTCGGAGGACGACTACGGCCCGGCCCTCCCCTCCTCAACAGCATCCATCCAACGAGCCCAAGCCGCCGCCGCAGCAGCAGCAGCGACGGCATCCCAAGGCCCCGTGGCACCGCAGCGCGACGACTGGATGCTCGCGCCGCCCACACAGTCAGGCTACCAGGAACGCGACCCAACAAAACTAAAGAACCGCAAATTCGCCAGCGGGAAATCCTCCGCCGCCGCCGCGGGAGGAGGTGGAGGAGGCATCAGCAGCATATGGACCGAGACCCCAGAACAGAAGCGCAAACGCCTCGAGGACGCTGTCCTTGGCCGCGGCGATCCGACGGCCGCGGGCAACGAAAGGAATCAGCAGCCGCGCCGGACAAAGGAGGAGGTGGAGCGGGAGAGACGCATCAGCGAGAATATCGCGAGCGCGCGTGGCAAAAGCATGTACGAGGAGCACCAGGCAAACAAGAAGCACGGCGGGAAGCCTGGGAGGGATGAGGACGAAGAAGATGACCCCAGCAAAAGGGCTTTTGACAAGGAGAAGGACATGTCCCTGGGAGGCAAGATTGGGACAGCGCAGAGGAGAGAGTTGCTCAACAAAGCAAAGGACTTTGGTGGCCGGTTCCAGAAGGGATCATATCTTTAATTGTGGTGGTTCTTTAGCATATACCAGTTGTAGGAGAATCCATATCAGGGTTTGTGGTTGATTATTTTGTATGGGCAGGCAGAAGGGGGGCCTCAGTACCACAAGGCTTCTTAAACACCATTTTGGGAGCGAAGCAGGTATCACCATTGAAGGGTCCACAGCATCCGTCATGGTTTCAATATTGTGTTAGTGCACGCCACGGGGCTTGAGTCATAAAATAACATTCATTCACAATCGCAACTGAACAGGGGTCAATCAATGAGTTGGTACGTTAACTTTGTTTGTCATTATTCCGTGACGAGTGATGCCTTAATCGCCGCAACTCCGCCGCTCCCCTTGTAATTCCAGAGAAACCAAACCAAAACAGGTCACCCTGTGCCTGTGATGCAAACCTGCCTCTGCCGCAGCGCGGCCTGATCCACCCTCCTCCTCCGTTGGCCCATATGGCCTAATCCCGCTCCGTCTGTATGTAAAGTATGGGTATGAAAAGCGGCGTCGTGTTGCTTATATAATGCAGTAAACATCGCAGATCTATGTTGAGATCTGCAAATTGGCCTCGGGGTATGATGTACACGAGTAGCACAACGATAAAAACAAAATCGCGTTCGCCTTAATAGGTGATACAATCATCAAAAAGACGGTCACCGCGCCTCAGTCATCGCAGTAGTGGTGCCTGCGGTTGGTGCGGTCTGCGTACCAGCCTCCAACTGGGACGGTGTGACATTAGCACCATTTGCCGTCGGGGATGGCGTTTGCTGATCGCCGCCTCGTCGGAGGGGGTTGCGGAAGGCAGGCAGTCGAATATTGGAGAGGAGACCACGAGATTCCTGGTTCTCCGCAGTAGTCGGCGAGGCCTGTGATGTGTTTTGGTTGGAGGCAGGCACAGCCTGTTGACGAGTACGAGGACGACGGTCCGATCGGTTGTTGCCCCGGCGGTTGCCGTTGTTTCGTCCTCCCAGACCAAATCGTGCACCACTCAGGTTATACCACGCAGCTGGGGGAGCGTTAGGCATGTTGGTACGGGACGCCGTGCGAGCCATATCGCCTGTGGCGTTGGGGTCTCCTTCGCCAGGGGTTGGTCGTGGTTTGGGAGTGTAGTAGTCGGCCTTGCACAGGGGGCAGCACGCCCTTCTGCTGGTGAGCCAAGGATCGACACAGACAGCGTGGAAAGCGTGACCACATGTGAGTCCGCGAATATCATCATCGTCCTCAAGCGTGTCAATGCAGATAGCACAAGTATCACCGCTGGTAGCCATCAGCTCAGGCGGGACAGCGGCATTAATGTGTTCGTCGTCTTCCTCGTCCTCCTCGCTGTGGACACGCTGAAGATGAGTGGCAGAAGTCGGAGTGGTCTGAGTGACATCGGTGTTGGCATTCGTAGTCGAAGTGTCTCCGTCCTTCTTCGCCGCATCTTCGACAGGTTTCTCGGCGATGGCTTTGTTTCCGGCGGCGGTAGCGGGGCGGTCTTCAATCGACTCGCGCTCCTTCGAGGGCAGCTCAGGCACAATTCCATCAACGGATCGGAGACTGTTCGCCCGACTGGGAGGAGCAGAAACACCTCCGGCGGTAGGCAGGCCCTCTCGTGCACGCTCAGATACCCATGTCTTGTACTTGGTCATGGGGAATTTGTCATTGACCTCATCCATCGTCATCAACTTCTTTTCGCGGCGCCTACGGTGCGGGCGAGGCATGTTCTCGAGGTTGATGGGCTCGCCATCCTCATTGAGACGCATAGCACGATTACGAGCATTGTACCGGAAGCAGTACTTGACGCCAACGATGATCCTGGAGACAGAGTTAGATGGTTGTTTGGACGAGGAGAGTCAAGTCTTAAGCAGGCTAACCATAAGTTCGTAAAGACTACTCCAAAGCCCAGAGCAACGAAGAAGAGCAGAGGAGAGCTCGTAGAACCGCCACCGCCGCCGCCTCCTCCATTGCCCGAGTTGCCGGTAGGCGTCGGGTTGTCGGTGGTCGTTTGAATTGCACTCGTGGCATCGTTGAGGGTCGACGTAGGGTCGGCACCGAGTGATGCAGACGGCGTGGCGGAGAAGGTTCCCGAGACCGACGAAGAGAATTGTCGCACCACGAGGTGGGAGACCTCGACGAAGACCTGATCGATGGCAGGCATTTTGGCGGCGATCTAGAAGTCGAGATCCACGTCGTGACAGTTGAAAAGTCGAACACCGTTGGGAGGTGATGCCGAAAGAAAACTCACGGTCGGGAGAGAGGCGAGTTCATGGGGTTGAGAGATGGGTGTGGCTAGGTTGAGTAACTGCCTTGATTTGAAACCGGAAAGCCGAAAACAGCGACTACGGACGGAAATGGTCTACCTGAACCCCCGTTCGCATTCGGCGTGCAATCGATACAATCCGATGGAATAACGAAGGAAATTGCCTCTCGTAGAAATACGTTTTTCCGTCTGTATACGAGTCGTGATCCCAATCTACTCTCAAGCCGTGGGAGGCGTGGTGAGTAGAGCGAATTGAAACAAGAGAAGAATCACGACACGATGTCGGATGGTGGTTGGGGAAGGTTGACAAAAGCAGGCAAGAGAGTGCGGAGGGAGGGAAAGTGCAGGTGGAGTGGGATAAGTATGGAACAGGACATGGAACTCTGACGGACAGTAAGAGCGTAACACAGCCCGGTCGCAGTAAAAAAAAGTGGGAACACAAGGCGATGGGCGGGTAAGTGCGAAGGAAGAGGAGGAGGAGTGGAGGAGGAAGGACCACCCAGCCCAGACCAGACACATCAGACACCCAAGGGCCACCAAACCAAACCGAGCAAAGTGTGGCAGAGACGTACCCAAGTACCCAAGTACCCAAGTATCAGCCGGAAAGGTGCAGGAAGGCACCACGGCACGAAGGAAAGAGAGGCACAGAGGCACAGAGCGAGAGGAAAGACTGGGGAAGAGCGATGGAACGGAGAAGCGGCCTGCAAGATGGGATTGGGCAGGGTATGAGTTAGCCCGCGCCAGGGTTGTATGCAAGGAGGTGGAGGTGCTAGGAAACCGGGTCTTCTTTGTGAGGTGGTGTTGGTAACCTGGCACTCCTGGCACGCCGCACGCCGGCCTGGAAGAAATGGATGGTGGCTGCCCTCACACTGTGCCACTGCGATGCCTCAGACAATTAGCATTTCCAACCTGTGCTGGTGCACACACCTTCAAGCTAGGTAGGGGCACGAAAGGGTGTCATGGAGACGGGCAACCAAACTGAGCATACCTTGGTACGGATAGTGCCTAGTGATACCTACTGCCTCGTAGATACCGAGATAGCACAGACAGTCAATCATGGATGGAAGCGCTGCCATTGAAAAGTACCTTAGTTGACTGCGTAGATGGGTATGTGGAAATCCAAGGCATGCGTCTCGTAGGTGACTGAGATGGACGCTCACGGGTCTGAGCGAGCAGTCAGAGGGACTGGGGGCCGTCAATTGTTGCAAGTCACCTCGTTTGCACCTTCACCCAGCTCGTAGGACGCCCCGATCTAGTCTGTTTCGGGAAACAAAGCGCCACGCCAGAGACAATGTGAGTGATGGGACTCGACCCTCGGACAAACCACCATACTTCTTCAGGATTAGCCTCATATCTCGTTCAAGTGCTTACATAGTAAGTGGATTGCTCTCATAAAATGTCATGGTTAAACGGGTCCTTGACTGGGGAACCGGCAAAGAACCGGCGGGGAAATCGAGAAAATAGCCTTCTAAGTCGTTGGATAATTCAAACACAAGTGTATTGTTCTCGAGGCACGCAATGTAAAAGCAGGTGTCCATAACTAAAGTTGGCCGGGGCCTACTGTAGATTTCCCACTGCTTTTGACGCATACAGTGACTTGAGTCTGACTCCGGGCTCCCGCCATGATGCTTAGGTTGGCTTTAGCGTCGCTGGTCCTTTTCCCCCTCCTAACGGAACATCTGAGGTACCTTACAAAAAATCAAAGCTCAAGCGCCGCTTCCCGTGATGAACAATCCGATTCTCCTATTCATCTCGGCCAACCCGTTAGTTCTTTGTCGTCGTTACCGCTGCCGTCATGAGGCTGATACTGCAAATCGCACCCTATCGGATTCCATCTACCCCTATCCCAGGTAGAGAAATCTCGCATCGAATCAAGGGGCCCAGCATGATGCTGATCTGACACACAAAGTACACTATACCACTGCCGAACTGCCTGACGTTACTCTAGTTGAAGGTAGTGCCTACCTGCCATCAAGGCGCCTGAAATTCCAAAGAGTCTGCCAGTCGCGCCCGCACGACCTGCACCGCAACACCACCTCAAGTCACGAACATCAACACCGTTCGGGCCTGCTGACACTGCTTCCAAAGAAGAAGGGGCTTCTTTCCCTTGCTGATATCACGTCGGATAAATCATCCGTGCCCTCAGCTTCCATTTCGCCCACTTTCCCGTTCATGATTTGAGTTCCAAATTCAACTTCCTCCAAAGCCTCGGCAAATCATCATTTCTCGGTTCTCAAAAGGCATGGGTAATGAACAGCCGACCATGCAAGATGCCGTCTTCTTTGTTTCCCTTTGTCTTTGCAATCAAGCCTAATCCCGCACCGCTACGGCCGGGCACTAGGCTACCGGTCACCTTAGCCCGCGGTGCGCATCGTCAACGCCGTCCGCCCTCCGACGGCCCAGGTCGATGCTCTGGCGATGCCTCCAAAAGAAAGCAGGGAATGATGTGGGGATGCGGTGCCGGATGGTGGAAGGGAAAGGCCGCAACACCATGCGGCGATAACCCAACGGAGAATTGCTGCAGCAGAAGCAAGCACCCAGCGGCTTACGCCAGAAGCAAAGCCGACAAGGGTCAGAGTAGAATACGACTGCTCGGTTGTTTCGTCTCTCGCCAAACGATCGCCCGAGTCCAGCTGTCTGGAGCCGCGTGTCTGAGAGTTTGATGTCCCTTTCACGATCATACCTCCTGGAACCGAACTGCCAACATCTTCGCTCATGCCTGACATTGAAACGAAAAGGTATGCGAATAGCAGGCACCTAGATGGACATC